CCACCACCATCACCTCCACCACCAACACCACAACCATCTCCACCACCATCACCTCCACCACCAACACCACCACCATCTCCATCACCAACACCACCATCACCTCCACCACCATCACCACCTCTACCACCATCACCACCACCGATGACCAGCATGGCTGTAAGGGTCACTGCTCACCTCATGTGGTCTAGGTCACTGGAGGAAGATTGGGACTCGAAGTTCAGGTCCTTGGTGGGGAGGTTCAGCATAGGATTGGCCCTGGAGAGAAGGCCTATTCAAGCAGTTGTGAACCTCAGACACCCCATGGAGCCTCTTACCCACCCTTTGAACCCTGCTCACCGCTCAGTGGTGTACATGTTCGTCCCAGGGATGGCAGAGGCTAAGGGCATCACCCCTGCCGCTGTCTTCCGGGCCTCCTTGGCAGCCTTCACAGCCCGAAGCTTCCGGTGGTAGCTGTGGAAAACCGGGGGCTAGGGGGTCACTACTTTCCCTGCACACCCACTGTGTGCCCAGTGCAGGCACTGAGAGTGTGACTTCACAACAACCCTGGCAGGTCAGAGGGTTAGCGCCATTTTACAGAGGGCACAAGTAAGAGCCAGGGAAAGGAAATGATTTGTCAAAGCCTGGCCAGTGGCAAGGCCTGGAGTCAAATCCAGATGTGGCTGCTCACTCCAAACATATTGGAAAGGGAAAAAGAAGCATTTATGAAATGCATAGTATGTGCCAGACATCTTGCTGGTGGCAGGACGCACATTGTGTCCTTGTGTGCCTTGAGGAATCTAGTGTTGTGCTCATCCTGCAAAGGAAACTGAGGCTCAGGGAGGAGAGATGACCTATCCAAGTGGTCATGACAGGCCTCGGGTGATTAAATACAGTTATACCGGATGCCTAAACCCAAGCTTTCTCTACCCACCAGATATCTCGAATGGTGGGAAAGGTGGGGTTGAAGACACAGGGGGTGATGGGAAGCAGTACCTCTTTCGGGTACACATGAGGGCCGTGGACATGATGACGATGACCAGCAGCAAAGCCACTCCCAATCCTATGATGACACTGACTAGCAGCTTTTGCAGGTCCGACTCCTGGCTCTCCTGGGAGCCCTGGAGAAGAAGTGTGAAGGAAGTTGTGGATGGACATCCCCCGCCTCACTCCCCCATTAATTCCGCCGCTGACACTCACCAGCACCACCAGCCCCAGCTGCAGCAGCTGCGTCAGTGAGTCCTGGTCATTCCGGATCATCCTGGCCACAGAATCCCACTCAGACCCAAGGGACATTGGCACCCCCCAGGCTTTTTGCTCACCCTCCTACCCACCCCAAGGGGAGCCCCACTCACACACTCAGCTCATCAAGTGTCAGGGCTGACCCATTCGAGAAGACAAAATAGGCATCAAGGTAGGAACGGCCCCGGGCCCTGGAATGGGACAGGGGTAAAGAGTAAACAGTCCAGAACCACCCAACAGGCCCGTCATGCTGCTGCTTCTTGTCCTCACTCTAACCACCGGGCCTGTGGGCACTCACCGAGCCGTGGATTCTATGTCCTGAATGCTCACAACATAGACAGTAGTCCTGGTGGCCTCCACGAGAGCCCTGCAAAGGGGGCAGATGTCACAGAGTCATAGGGTAGGGACCTTAGACCAGGCCTCTGGCCGGGACTCCGCCAGTGGAATTAGGAATTGTGTGAATTAGAAAAGGGCATCTCCTCTGG